TCAGTCTTTTTTTGTATATATGTGGATTATTTTTGAGATTGGTAGATTGAAGTAGACATCCATGTAGGGAAGGTGAAACATGAAAATAACTGTGTAAAAATAACTGTAAGCAAACTGAAAGATGAAAAAAACCTGTAAGTGGTAACTGGTAACAACTAACATGTTGACACTAGTAACAGGCTGAGGTTGACAACATTACACCTAAATCTTTTGTACATTTTTATTCTGTAATTTATATTATGTATGTATCATGCTGGTTTTTAAATAATATTTAATACTATTAAGGGGACTGGCTACCCTAAAAATTGGAAATTTTGGCTTTACCGTTTGCTTGACTTGACTCATTTTGTAGCTGCTGAAAAGGCGCGTCTAGCGCAGTTTACCTCATGTCTGTGCGTGCTATAATTTTTGCGTAAGACTATTTTAAAAATATATATATGAACATTTTTTAACAATATGTACAAAGATTTATTTGAATTAAATCTGTATATATAGATCATTACTCTCGTTAATTAGAAAGTGTTTGCACTCGTTTGAAAGCTACAAATGAGACGCGTTCAACAAAGTTACTACCATAGATGTACATGCAATACTTTTTTGTGTAATGCAGTCTTGAACTTTTATAAAATGATCATTTTATATCATTATTTATAAATAAATGGTATTTATATGTCATTATTTAAGTTAATTGCAAAGTGTTTGCACTCGTTTGAAAGCTACAAACAAGACGCATCTGTAATTTATATTATGTATGTATCATGCTGGTTTTTAAATAATATTTAATACTATTAAGGGGACTGGCTACCCTAAAAATTGGAAATTTTGGCCTTACCGTTTGCTTGACTTGACTCATTTTGTAGCTGCTGAAAAGGCGCGTCTAGCGCAGTTTACCTCATGTCTGTGCGTGCTATAATTTTTGCGTAAGACTATTTTAAAAATATATATATGAACATTTTTTAACAATATGTACAAAGATTTATTTGAATTAAATCTGTATATATAGATCATTACTCTCGTTAATTAGAAAGTGTTTGCACTCGTTTGAAAGCTACAAATGAGACGCGTTCAACAAAGTTACTACCATAGATGTACATGCAATACTTTTTTGTGTAATGCAGTCTTGAACTTTTATAAAATGATCATTTTATATCATTATTTATAAATAAATGGTATTTATATGTCATTATTTAGGTTAATTGCAAAGTGTTTGCACTCGTTTGAAAGCTACAAACAAGACGCATTTAACAAAGCTACTACCATGGATGTTCATGCGATAGTTTTTGCGTAATGCAGTTGTAAAGTTATGTAAAATGAATATTTTATATATATATTTATATATAAAAAGTCCCATCTATAGCCTATTATTCACAATAAATTTAATATAAATAGGTCTAAAGATGCGTGCTGGTACCTTGAATGCAAATAATTGGCAACGGGAAAGCTTGGGCTACAATATCAAGAATTTTTGGGCATATTCTTCTGTTTTCAATGAATTTTACTTTATTTAGTTCGCCTGAAAAATTAAAAAATCCAAAAAACGCCATCTTAAAAAAATTATAACTCCAACAGTTTTCAAGCTACGGCAATGAGAGACATACCATTCGATTTGTAAAAACAATACCTAGCGACTCTAGAAACCTTTTTTTTTAATATGTGAATGGTTTGACTTATATATGGGAGGGGAAGGAAGGTGGGGGAGGTTAAAATGTGAAAGAAATGGGAAGAACGCAAAAAAAACGCTGAGGAAAATAAAAAATTGGGGCTCTACAGTCGCTAGATATTGTTGTTACAAATTGAATGATATGTGTCTTGACATTGTAGCATGTGATTTGCAAAAGTTATAAACTTTTTTATAGTACCCCCTTATTTCCCGTTTTCTATTTTTTCCACGTTTTCTTTCATTTTTTTTTAATTTACATGAACAAAAAGGTCTTAGATTTCTGTTGTACATATGTGTACCAAGTTTCAAAACGATCCGTCTGTAAACAAAAAAGTTTTGTTGGAAGGTAGCCAGTCCCCTTAAGTAAAATCTAAAGGCTTTATCTATAAATGTAGCAGTAGCGCTGTAGCAGCAAAACCTCGTATCGCTACTTAAATATGTAGCAGGCGCTACCGCTACCACTACAATTGCTTAAATGTAGCACCGCTACCGCTACTGGAAATGTAGAGGCTGCTACTGCCCACCTTTGCATTTATATAATAACTTGAGACGTATCCTTTTACTATTCTGATTGGAGCTCGGCAATTGAAATGATTTTGGCTACGAATACATGTTGTGGTTTTATGTGGTACTTAATCTTGACAGGCAAATAAAAATGTAAAAACATTTTTTTTAATTGTGTTCTATGATGGTTTGGACGAGGCCATACCAGCTGTGGCTGGTGACATCGGCTGAGTGGAGAGACTTCGATTTGCCTCCAGCTCAATCACAGGATCGGATTCATTGATCTTGCCTTAAGCAATCTTCTTTGACAAAAAGTTTGGAAAGAAATATCAACAACATTTTAAAATACAACAAAAATTTAAGGGAAAAAATATAATAGTTTGATCTTCAAAAAAGAACTCAAAATATCCGTGTGTATCCTTTCTAAATAACATTAAACAAGCCCAAGTGTTTGATAACAATTTAGGAAACTGCACAATTGTGAAGATTTCCTTGAGGCATAGCACAAAATTTTACTAAAGGCAGAGATAATCTAAAATTAGCTTCAGTATTATTAGGAATATCTTATCAGGACTCCACTCCACTGTCTACTAACTGGCCGACTAATCTAGACACTGTGTCCCTACACCCTATGCGCTCCACGGCGCTTGAACTTGTTCCGAATGCGTAATACACTGGACTCATTTTCGTACGGTTCTCATAAGTGCCATCAAAGCCTTAGTTAAGACTTGAGATTAAAATTTTTGACTCAATACTCAGCCGTGCATACATACATCAACAGGTTTGCAGCGTTTGTCGGACCACTAATTAACTGCCATGTCAGTCAAACAAATTTTGCTAAATCTGCAATTAACTCAATTTAACTGGCAACTGTCTTTGGCCCTATTAGCAATAAAGGGCAACTTGTCATTCTTCAACCCATGTTTTCAAAATGATTCGTATCATAATCGAAAAACTTGTTTTGTCTTAAATAGTAATTAAGACAAATCTTGTCTCATCTCATTATGTCTTGTTTCAAATCTGTCTGTCTCGTCCCAGTTCATAAGTTACCGGGACACAAGTTTTAAAGTCCCAAACAGAAGTCTTGTCTCGGTTCATACCGTAAAATGGGGTAACTTAGACCACTTTTTTTATAAATGATGCCATTTTTTTACTAGCTAAATTAAACTTGAATTGAAACATGCAAAATACAAGTCTATACTCTAGCTTCACTCAAAAAAAATTGGAGGGGGTACTCTGACAGGCTTTGAATAATAGCTTTTTTTCATGGGTCACATTTTTAATTTTTTAACCTATTAGATATGCAAACTTTTTAAGTCTTTCTATTGTGTTATGTAGGCTCAGTATTAGGCCTTTAATTCCCATTGACAAAATTTTTCTGTCAAATAGTTTTTGAGTTGTGGGGGTTTTTGTTAAAAAAAAACGAAAAGTGGTCTAAGTTACCCCGCCGGTCTAAGTTACCCCATTTTACAGTACATCTATTCCGGGACAAATTTTACCCTCTGTCCCATTATTTTTTTCCTGGAATTTTCTCGTCTCGTTTCGTCTGCCCCAGTTCATTTCAAGAAAATTATTTTGAGCTGCAGGAGTTTACTATTGACCATTACCCAAAGCATTTACAGCAAGTTATTAAAGGTAAAGGCCATGCTATTAACTATTGATTCAGGGTATGAATAAATTTGGTCATGAATCAGTTATATGTTTCCTTTGTATTGGTTTACAAAACTGTTTTTATAATGTTTTTTGGTTTCTAAATACATGTTATAGGGTTCATAAATGGTATACATCTCCTTTAAAGTTTTAGATAATTATTTTTTGGTCTATTTCTCTGAATTTGTCAAAATGATGTTAGGGTAGGAATAATTTTGGGCACAAGTGCAGAAGCTCTTGCAAGGTTACTTACAGATGAGTATCAGATATTCAGGGAAGTGTGTTGCCCACCACGAATTCTCAATCAACTACTGTTACTGAATTGAGCACCATGACATTCATGGAGAAAGCCCATGAAAGGACAGACAAGTTCAGGTGCAGCATTGGGAAGATCCAAATGTATTCAGTATAATGGCCATAACTCATACACTCCTGATCTAGTGGATAGAGTTGAAAATCTATTTTCATTTTGGTTGATGAGCAGATTGCTAACATAATCAATCGTTTCCACAGAAATAACGTCAATCATTTAGATATACCTAGTGAATAAGATGAGAATTTTAATTTTCTGAAAATTACTTCATGACTGTATGAACATTAGGTTATAAGCTATCAAGCATCAATGAGGCTGCTGTTATTATCTCCAAAATGTCATTGTAGTAGTTTCTTAGATATTTTGAGGTATTGAAAATTCTTTCAATCAAAACCATCAGGCTGGAAACAATTTGGACATTTATTGATTTTTTTCTTGAAACACCTTATCTGTCCATGCATGGAACTTGACCAAGGTTCAATTAAGGAATACAATTTCCAAGCTTGGAGCTGCTTACTCAATGGATACATTTTGGGTTTTAAGCTTTTGCTTTCTTTTTGATATTTTCACCATGTAATTTCCTTGCTGTATTGTGAAGTATATTGGAAGCATATATTAATGTTATGAGAGAAAAGCTACTGGGAGGCTGTTGACTCCTGGAAATCACATCAGGAAAACTATTCCACCAAGGACTGATGCAGGAGAAATTTGTAGAAATGCTCCAAACAAATCATGAATATTGAGTAAAATATTATTGTGAAAACAATGAAGAAGAAAAGTTTTTACAACTTATATGTATTTTCTAGTGAGGTTGTAGCTTCAACTGTTGGGGCTATTGTCTTGTCATGTATGTTGACAATATTTTCCTTTTCAGGCTTTTTATTTATGATCATTAAGTCCGAATTATGATACTAAGTCTCAGATCAAAAATTCTGTTGCCTGCCTACAAGTGCATTAATATTATTGCACCTGTAAAAAAATGTCAAGTTCTGAATAGATTCTTTTACACTTCTGTCCCACAAAATTGTAAGCCTGAAAAATTGATATTGGATGTTAATCAAGCTAAAGATCAACTTTTGTTTGTTGTCAACCATGACAAATTTATAAGGCTTATGAATATTTTTGGTATCTCACAATGCATCTTCTGGGTATCTATAGGCTTTACTGCAAAAGCTATGAAAACTGTCCCTGTTGTGGAGCCAACTGCAGAACTGCCATGGTGGAGGACGTATGATTTCTCCAAGTACAAGTATCATATTTCCATTTCAGCCTTTTGCATTGGTAAGGAGATGTTTAGGTGTTAGTTATTTTGAGTATCATATTATGTATAACTATGTAAGCTATTTATGCTCAAATATACTCTTTTGTTGAATATTACCGGTATATCTGAAACAGAATTTAAATTTTTTGGAAATGCTCAAGTTACTATAGGGAAAATGAAATTGTTAGTAGCAACCATGACATTTCTTGTTTGAATTTTTTTCAAAAATTCATTTTTACAGGTTATGTAGTACTAGGTGGATGTTGGCTCTATGCTTTACGCACAATTCATCACATAGTATTACGCAAAGGTGGAAAGACTGTCACTATTTCCACTTACACTCCATTTTTCAAGAAAAGGTTCATAACTGTGCCTCTTGAAGAGGTAAGATTCTTCTATTTCCTTAATTCTGTATATATACAACTTGCCATAATGTCTAATAACTTGTTGCCTATTAAAAAATGTATCCATTACTCCAATGTTTGACTCTATTTATTTCTTTCTCATAAATAAAATGAGTACCATAACAAAATGTGATGAAAAACCTTTTCTGTAAGTTTGTTAACATGTTTTTTTTAAGGGAATTTTTTATTTTGTGTCCTTAGCAAATCCAAGCTCATCAACTGAACTTATATATTTATTTCGCCCTCAGGTGTCTGCTAAAACTTCAAGAATTGGAGGCTCCTACATGTCACTTAAGTTGCAAGGACGCCCATTTCACTATTTGGTTGATGGTCGAGGAAATTTCGTTAGGCCAGAGCTTTTTGATAGAACTGTTGGAGTGCGTCGGGATTTTAAAGCCTCAAGATAAACTGTTTGCTTTCTATGTACCTACTATAGGAGGAATGCTTTTTGGAAGAGGAATTGTTTATTTTATGAATTTACTTTTTTCAGCAGACCTAATGTAGTTCATTAAAACATTGCCGAAGGCATTTTTAGTTTTGTCTGTTAATCAAGTCTCAACTTATACCAAAACGAGTAGTCTGTGGAGAACAGTTGAGCTTTTAGTACTGGTAACTATTGAGCTTTATCATTGTGGCTGATTGTGGTGAGTAAATGAGGAAAAAACTCTGATTTTTCAAATTATAACATCTGCTGCCAGTGTAAACATGATTTTTCATAGCTCAATTTATTGAAATCTTATTTATTTACAGGTTATTGCTAGGAGAAGGATTTTATCCATTATAAGTAGAGAACTAATCAAACCTAAATATAGACAGCTTCTAATTAAATTGAGATTATTTTTGAATGAATAAAATTTCGAAGTTTGAAAATGTTGTCCAAAGTAGCAAACTTTACTTGCCTGCATTTGTGCTTTAGAGCACTGCATAGTTCTGCTCCCGCAAATATGCCGCGTACTGGCATTATGAAAGTGAATAATTGGGGCATCAACTTCAACTGTTGGCATAATAATCTTTGCTTATTAGTGGAAAACACTAGGTGCATTAGTGGAAAACATCACATGGAAAAGGTGCCGCAGTTTCTGAGTACTTCAAGATCTAATCCTTATCAATCTAGATCATTGCACTCACAAACTGCCTCAAAGCCCAAACTTGACATGAAAATTCTGAATGAATCACTTCGTGAGAATGGTAAAGTCTTGTTTACCCACAACAATGGTAAAGAAAGTGTGATTTATAATATATTGGCTTTTGGACTTTGTGGTTTTCTAACATATATGGGTTATATCATTTATACTTCCGAGGACTATGAGGTGATTGAAGACCGCCCTAGCACGGAAGACTTTCATCCTTTTTATCAATATCTCAACTTTAATCCTTTGAAACCGTACATCGCATCCGCTTTTCTGGCTGCAGGTATGTTAATAGTTCAAGCTATTTGCAAATTTAACTTTACATGCTTTGAACCTATGCTTTCACCTTTTTCATAGTATTTGCTCCAAATCACGAGTTGTATGAATTTAGAGTCATTAGTCATTTACTATGACCACTAGAGGCCGTAAAACTTCTGCTGGGAATTATACCATAAGCTTTCAAAGAAGGTGGGCCTCATTCAGCTGCGGCTGCAAATTTGTGAATCGTTATTGTGAATATTGACCCAAGTTCAAATTGTCGTAATAAGAATGTTACCTTGAGAATCGTCACCCATTCAAGTTCTAACCAATTGCAGCCTCAATAAAGTTATACTTCCAATACATCCAATATTGCTTATTGAAATTTCATCAACTTCAAAGGATTCATATTCTTAATTCTTATTGTATTGCAATATATGGTCGTCATGCTTGAGAAAGAAAAATAGTCCTATTTAGAATCAATTTACTCCTACGAGTTCCCTTACACTGCGCTGCGTCCAGGGGTGTTCACGATAGGTGCTATCATGAACCACTCTCTGCGATGTGTGAGGTCTCTGACGCTGCTTCCTGATGGGCTGACCGTCATGGTCACGACAAACTCGTTCAGCGGTGCTGCCCGCACTCGTCAAGTCCCCCGAATGCAGGTTTGACTTCATGCTGGATAACTTTGACTCAACATGCTCAAATAAATAATTTTTACTTGCTCCTTTTCATGATCAGCGTCGAGTATATAATGAACGTCAAACTGCAATGCAATGAATTTTTTTTTAATTCTATAAAACCTTGATACGGTTTCCTACAGGAATGGACACCATATAAGTTATTATGGTTGCTCAATATAAACTTGCACCTTTTCACCATTCTGTACCGATCAAAATTTTTATGAAATTTGTCAGCGACGCGATGGATATTGAATAACTTATGGTTATTTCCTTCCAGCTGCGCACTGAAAAGCTAAATTACCTTCTTGGGGGGTACGATTCGTGCCGATTGCACAGGCAGGGCCAGCGCCTGAGCTACATTATGGATGTTCGCGGGACTGTTCACGACCCGCGCGCTCTGGCGTCTCTTTTCTCGCATAGCAACGACTTTGCTCAAGTACCAGAGTCTGAACGAGTCGACTAAGCTAGTCCAGTTGAAAATATATATTAAGAATCATGTCAACATGGTTTGATTGTATTGTGCATAAATTATTGAAATGTAACCTACAAGTAACACTTATACTACGAAGGAAAAGTTGAACGAGATAGTTTTGTGCTTATAGAATTATACTATAAAATTCTCGAAAGAATATAACACATCACTCATCAATCAACAAAAGTTAACAAATCATATGGTTTTAATTTACCTATATTATTATGTACAAAGGCATCAAGCTATGGCGCGCTGTATTAGAGAAAGAAGAGTCACGGTGCAATCACAGGCCTGTCTGCTCCCCACGATGCGCCTATCAGCCGACTGCTGTCAGGCCGGAAGTAGATCGACGCCACGCCCAGTGCCACCGCCACTAAGGCTACGGTGCCAGCAGCAAACGCCCATGTCCTGCCGTATCCTGCAGACGTAGCCCACATCGCCCGTCGTAGTTGTGAGGGCAGCCACCACGCAGGGCTACGACCGGACGCGTGCTTCCTGGCAGCAATACGCCGGTCCCGCTCTGCTCGCTCGGCCTCCTCGCGCTGCTTCCTGTAATCACATGATAATATTGAGACAAGCTCCTAAGTGTACCATACGCTTTTATAAAGCCAAAAGCGATAAAACATTATCAAAGAGACAATTCAAAAACGTTCGAAAATCAAACTAATAATGAGTTGTATTGTAAAACAATGAATCAATAAGATGTACAGCGCCATGTTTGCGTAACTCACTGCCGTAGAAGATAACGGTCGACGCCGTCAGAGAGAGATGCAGGAGGAAGCCGTTTGTACATCTGGCGTGCTTCCTTGAAGACACTTTCAAGTGGCATATCATCAGGGATCTGTAGTGAAGTTGAATACTCGAAATCATGCTTTTATTTCACGAATTGCTCCTATTTAATTTGATCTATTTATTCACACAGGAGCACACATTACAATGAAAAATAAAAAGAGACGTGAAATAAAATAGCAAGGCTTCCAGGTAAATGCCCATGTAAGCTAAAAAATCTTTCGCATGCAACACAATAGGTACAAAGCTCCATTCCAATGATAACAAGACGACGATGAGAACAAACGAGTAACAAATTTCTAAATTAATCAAAACCATTGACAAATGCCTTAAAAACTGATAACCGCATGTCATAGACCATAGTAGAAAAATCAGAATGAAAGAGGCAATATCAACATTAGACTCAGTAAAACAGGGTACAACTGCAAACATCTAGCCAAAATGCTTTAAATTTGCGTAATATTCGAAATCAAATTAATGCTGGTTTAGGATAAAACCAGGGGATTATTTCAGACATTTCGTAGAAATCTTGTTTGAACTCATCTGGCAATTCGTTAAAATATTTCACACAATTAAAAACGGTTCCACTTTTTTCTATTTTTAAACGAACCGGTGGTCAGTTAAATCGAACGCCCCTGGTGTGATAATGTTAGGGAACAAGAGGGGCGAAAGCAGATTTAAAAAGACGTTCAGCATGGTAGGTTAAGTGCTCTATTCATGAACTTTATAAGTTGAAATTTGAACATCAAAACTCCGTGGTCTTTACTCAGTTAATGACAGACGTGGTTAATGTGTTTATTGAAGCAGAACTTGTAACCGAGGATTAAACTAAGATACCTGAATTCATCTACCCATTTCAAGATTGTCCCATTGAAGGTAATGTCAAGTAAAACGGAAACGGTTCTTGGAATAAAAAGCATCAACATAGTCTTGTCTATATGTGCCACTAGCTTGTTTGCTAGAAGTCATCTTGACAGATTCAATGACAGCTCTGATATATTGTCACACGCTTCGTCATACGAGTTTCTCGAGACATAGAACACGGCGTAGTCGGCAAAAAGCTTACAGTGCACGTTAAAGATGAAGCGATATCATTAATAAAAATATTAAAGAATAAAGGCCTTAAAGGCTCTGTAAGAAGTACAGAGCCTTAAAGTACACCTATATTGATGGGCCTTAAGGGGGAATTGATTTCATTCAATGCGACGAACTGCTTTCTGTTCGTGCGGTAAGACTGAGTAAGGAAAGTCCCCCTAACTCCATAACGGTGGAGCTTACCCAATAGTACTTGGTGATTCACACAATTGAAGGCCTTTTGTAGGTCCAGAAAAAGCGCAACACAGTATTCTTTATAATGATATGTCTTGAGAAGGTCTAGAACTAAATAAAATATAGCCATAGTTGTGTTGGTTCCCTTTCGGAAACTAAACTGATCATCAGAAATTATTGAAAACTTGTTGAAAAAAATTGGTGAGTATAGAATGCAGGATTTTTTCCAAAAAATCTTATTAAGAAAAGGCAAGGTTGATATTGGACGATAATTACAGACATTGTGCGGGTCACCGGATTTAAAAATAGATATAACGCGAGCAAGTTTCAGTGAATCAGGATACACACCACAGGACATATGTAGGTTAAAAATATGAGCCAAAACTGGTGCTACAGTGTCAGCTACAAGATACAACATTCTTGGCTGAACTTCATCGATCTGAAGTGGCTTGCCCTTGCACAACCGTAAGAATTTCTTGTTTCAAGTTTCTATAATTATAGATTAGTTTTGAAGATAGATTAAATGTACGGTATTCTTATACGCTCTGTACATATGAATTATATAATATGCCTCTGTTGATCACCAATTAGCTGCCTCTCATTTCATACCTAGATAGCATCCCAAAGAATTGCAATTCAAGCATTTAGATTATTTTTTACTCGTACAACGAAAATGATGCTCTTTATGCATTTTTTATGACGGATGTATCAACATTTATCAATTATTAGCAGTAAGTCAATGAAATTAAATTAAATCGAAGTTGGACACCTTTCCCTTACATTTGTGTCATTAATTTAAGTAATATTAGCTTTTAATGACATAGGGATCTTGTTCAATATATTCTTCAACAGTGAATTTACTCCTTCAAGAAGCAAAATTTTGAAAAATACATAAACTACATATAACTTATAATTAATCATACTTCTTTGTACTTACTTCAGAATTAGCATTTTTGCACATTTCGATGATTTTTGCAAAAAGATTAAAATGTGAATAGCATCAACATTTTATGTGCCTGCCGACAAAATGTACAAATCTTACCCTGGAGAGCGCCTGATGCATGCTGGGCATGTCGCAGGGCACGGCCAGCAGCTGCTGTTCTCTATGCAGGATGATTGCCCCAGCCACATATATGGGCATGAGTGGAGGTGACGCGAGTAAGAAGTCGTACAGACGCACCACGTGGCGGTACTCGGACAGTGAGTGAGCGTACCACGTGATCAGCCACGGCAGGCAGAACATTGTGCCTACGCCGCACCTGTGAAACATTTCTTGTTATTCTGCAGTAGTTCAGGAATAAATCAAGTGTAATTCAGAGACAATGTTTTACTTTTTATTTAATGTTAGACGAATTAAATGAAGATCTGGATTACTCACTCTTCTAGGTGATTATACAGCGCGGGGCTCTGAGCAGCTAGCATGGGATACAGGTAGGCTAGCCAGCGCTGTGTGCGCTCCATGGTTGGCTGTAGGAACTCTCTGAGGTGGGTCAAGGAGAGCTCTTCAAGCAACAGTATGGCTAGTTTCTCTCCACACACCAGCAAAAATGTGATGCCCACATCATGGTAGCCCTGCATTAAAAAAATGTTTATGTAAAAATGTTGAAGTGTCACAAGCTGCAAGCAATATGAATGAGAGTGAAAGATTAGTGGCTCCTGTCCTTTCAGTGATCATGGAAACTTTTTTACTTTACAGATAATTTGGAAAAACTAGAGCAATAAATAAATGTACAATGTGATAATATTCAAATAAACTGCTGTTTTTAGCGCATTTTCTCATTTATGGAAAAAACGCACTATTGTGCTCGCCATGTCCGTCTGTCTGTCTGACTGTCCGTCCGTCCGTGACCTCAAGTTTTCGTCGACGAGAAAATGCGCGCTCTGTCACTCACTGCAGTGAGTACTGAGTTACATTTTTTTAATTAGTGCATTACTACCCTATACTATAAAAATCATTGTGAGCCCTTTACAGAAGAAAAAAAATCATTAAGCACAATTATATTGCGTCATCAAAATGCACGGATAATTTAAAATAATAACAAACAAGATTTGAGTGAATATTTTCCAAATGTAATTATTGAAAATGTTTAATTCTGAGCTTTATTATTGTTTGAGGTCAGTTGACTGGGGCTCAGTATAATTTCAGAGAGAAACTCTGAGTGCGATCATATTAGAGCCCTCAATATTTAATTGCATATTGAAATACTAGTTAAATAAAAATAAACCTGATAATAATGGAAGAGTGGGTTGCGTTGCAGCACTGTCATGATAACTCTGGTAAGTTTATCCATGAGCTCCTGCCGCTTCTCAGGACTGATGTCAGGGGGGAACCGCTTCAGTGTGCGCTCCACATCCATCACAACCTGACAACACATTGAGTACAGAAAAAGTTAATATGATAGCATCAACAGGACACACAGGAATCGTGAGAAATGTTAGATTTTTGTGTAGCTGTACACATAAACCCTATTTTACCCTTGAGAATAATCTTGACTCATAATTAAATCGTACTTCAATTTCAGAAACCTGAGAATATGAGGAATGAAGCTGAGCTTGTTGGCAAGTCAGCAGAGGAACGGGTTGTGACTGGTGCACCAGTAGCAGCCTAGGCCATACTTCCTTACGCAAATCATCTGAAAACCACAACATTTCATTTATTGCACTCAGGATCACAAGAAAATATTAGTTGCATGGCTAAATATGATTAAAAGTCAATATAAGAAAGACAATACCAATTGGAAAGAAACACAGGGGTAGGAAATCTCAAAGAAGATGATAAATAAAATTATCAATCAGATAAAAATTTCAATTATATATAGCTTTTTATAAGTCCAACCTGAAACAAAGCCTTCATCCTCCTCAGCCAACTGCTGCAGAGCATAAACATCCAAGACAGGTTCATCTAATACATTTCTGATCTTATTGATTTTCCACTGTAAATCACATTCAAAATTTTCTGTTTCCAGCTCATATGTAGTGGAAGACTCTTTTTCAAGTACATGGTTAACACATTTTTCCTTTGATAATGCATCAACATTTTTTGTAGTTTCTGATTCATTTTTATCACTTTCATGGGTGAATTGATAGTCATAATCTATTTTGTGATTAAATAATGGATATTTATCTTCATCATCAAAACCAGCTATCCCCTCCAATTTAGAATGGGCCCCTATCTCACTTGCTGCCACAGCATGTACATTTAATTTCTCATCTGAATTTTTCTTAATGGCATTCAAGTTGCTTTGCAAATCTTCTACTTTTTGATTATACATAGAAATTGGATTCTTCCTTGATTTGGGCTCAGCATTTTGTTTCAATTTCACATGATTATCAGTTTTCTTTGATTCAATTGACTTTTTGCCCTTAGTACTTTCCGAATGCTCATGGGTAAAAGATTTTTTTACAGTAGATTTTAGTGGATCAGATTTGGTTTCATTAGCATGATTAATCATTGCTTCAGCAATTGGTTGATTTTCAGGGCTTGTTTCACTTGAAGATCAAATGATAGGCATTGCACATTGAAGGAAGCAGAATTAATATTAGACACGATTCACACAAATTTCACTCCACCCCAGGAAAAAGTTTGTCGGCCCAAGTTCCAACTAAGTAAATCTCTACAGAATAAAGTATATTGGTCACAAAATTATTATTATTATTCTGAAAATTTTGACAAGTTTGAATATCTGATCTAAAGCAGAACAAATAGGAAATTTTTGTATCTGTTAGTAGCATACTAATGAAAAAAACAACATAGGCCTATCTTTATAGGGCAGTCAAATTAAAAAAAAACTTTGTAGTCATCATGTGGTTATTGAACCCTGCAAATTAATAAATCATAATTCTGCCTATTGCCCTTTACCTATCCAATTTAGAATGCCCAGCAATAATTTCCTCAAATTATGGGTGAAAATGATCATTTTGCAGGTGATCTTAAAAAATTGCATGCAAAAATATGCCATTTTCCTTACCTCTCACAGAATAAATTTAGAAAAATTAAATTTTTAGGTATGGATGAAATGGGCCAGATTTATCATACGATTGTTCTTGTCCAATCATGGTTGGCATTTGTCCAAGTCCAATTTTACAATTATGCCTAATTGCCCATTGCAGGGTGCATACCTGTCCACTGTCCAGCTGTCCTGGACAAGCTGGAAAGTTGTATTCAAGTCTCAAAAATTACGAATAGTACCTATATAACTTTCCAGATTTTCCATGACCGGTATGCATGATGCACCCTGACCCTGCCTGGCCTGCCAAGGCTGCCATTGCCCAGTAGGCCTATCATACTGATTTCAGTGCAGATTTTCATACAAGCAGCTCAGCAGCTGGAGTGGGGCTAGGCATGTGCAATTTCTGCTGATTGCCAGAGTGGCAACTTATGTGTCATCTATGGAATGGAAAGTGAGATCAAAATAGCTTTGCTCTCATTATAATATGGTTTCTGGTACTGATTAATCATAATGACGATGATAATGTTAACCAACCCTATAAATATTACTTGTAGTTCTGACAACTGACCAGTCACCAGTTATATATACTAGTTTATTGAGACAAGCAGCAAGTTACGTACAGTTTCTGCTGGCCAGTGTGGCCACTGATTTTGATTGGCAAGTTGGCAACTTATGTATCATCTACACTCCTAAAACTCCTTGACATCCTTGTCCAGTGCAGTGGCAGATTCACTAGTGACAAAAGTTTTTTAGACTCTCCCTCAACCTCAAGTTCATTTTTGAGTCCTATGAGGCTATAAGTACACCAGCAAAGTATCATGGATGATGCCGAATTGCCGATGGATACCATACCAGCATTATCATACATAAAAAATTGGTTTAAATCTAGAGTAAATGAGGAAATTAAAAATGAACTGATTCTAAAAAATCTCTGGTTTGTCACTAAGATGGGCAACCATCTAATTGATCAAACTTTTAGGTACTCAGTTTATATTGATGTTGAGAATACCTTGTTTATGGTAAATTCATAGTATAGGTAGTTTCTCTTATTTGAGGTAGCTAAATTCAATCAAAAAGCCACAATGAAAAGAACAAGAATGCCTATGCGGCATTGATTGCTATTTGCTAAGTGCAAAGAAGTTGATCCTACAGCAAACAATCACTTTGTACAGAAAAAAATCAACTGTTTTTTTTTAAAGAATGTGTCAAAATGAAGTCGTCAATGCAGCCTGGTAGTGGTAGGGATGCTGTGGACTGTGGTATTTTGTGGTAATGCGGTAAAAAATACTTCATTATGGTATTTTTTTAACCACTTTCGGGACCACCGCGTACGTTTGCCATTTGCATTGCCTTCATCTAATTTTGGTGGCACAAACTGCGATCACTGCAGCGAGCGCCACTAGCTTCTCCATTGCCGAGAGCGCACACAAGAGTGGAGGAAAGTTTGACGTCCAGCAGGCAGCAGTTTGAGACTTTTAGTTGTGTGGACGCTCGTCAATCTTCCGTCTTGTCGGTCAAACTTTGGCATGAGATGCAAGATTGACGATAATTTGAGCGTATGGACGGGGCTTTGCCAATGCCGCCTAATTTGCCCACTTTCCGGTGTCAAAAAGATCTAATTTGTGAAGTGTAAACAAACGACCACAATTACCAAGCAAAATTGATAGACAAATGAAATGAAATATTCGACATTTTTCGATTCTATTACTTCATTAATAATGTAAAGCAAATACGAATATGCAATGCATTGGGTGCACGAGCAGTCAAGCACCAAAAAAGTTGGTGTGGGCGTACTGATAAAAGTTTAAAAAAAATCAAAATCTTGCTTGATTGTTTTAACAGAGGGACAACGCAGATTCTTTCCGTTCCGAATGACCAATAGAATACAAGCTACCGGTAAGTCAGCGCAGAGGAGAGGAATCTCATTAGTGCTAAGCCCTATTGGTGAAATCATTCTAAAATAGCGTTCAAGTGATGATATTATCAGCTCACCTATGCAATGAGAGGTACTTTTTGCCAAGCTTCAGCAACAGTAGCCGATTGTGACCGGGCTGATGGGTCATGGTAGAATCGTATAAACCAAACCAAGTTGCGATGATATACATACAACGGCACTCCGAAACGGAACTGCATGTAGATATTTTCGAAACTCCCACAGGACATGACTTTCGTGACTGACGGGACTGTGACGTCCCACTCAATGTCTTACTCCATAACTTGCATACAGCGTACCATTCGAGGCATAGCTAACTACAGGGACACTTGAGTAACACTCCTGCGCCATGTCAACTCAAAAGTAATTGACTGACGGGACTGTGACGTCCCACCCAACGATTTACTCTATACATTGCATGTAGCGCTAAATTCATGGCATAGCTAACTACAGGGACATATTAGAAACACTCTTGCGCCTACATATGTCAAATCTAAAGTAATATAAATAAAGTTTTTTTTTATATGTTATTATATAAGCTATTACACGCGTTTGCCAAAGGAAGTTTGTGATATTATTCAACTACTAACAAAAATATTACGAAAATATTTTTTTTATCGAAATCAGTGATGTCGCAAATTGTGTCACCTCAGTTGGAACCATATACTACCGGGATTTTCTAGTCCCAAATATATAATTTTTAGATTAACATATATTTAATTATTTTTTACGGAGATGCAATATTCGGTCCAAGTTCATGATGATTCTGTTGAAAAATGCGAATAAAAAGTTGTAGAACACATTGCCGTCACGAAAGGGTTAAAAAAACTTGGGGCCGGCGAGTTGTTTTAATCATTTGCTTTATTGTTCTTAATCATGTGCCTTATTTAAAATGCCTTTTGTTCGAACTTGACCCGATTAGATACAATGCAAGGGTTTTTTTTGTCACCACGCAATAAAAAACTACTATATTACAAATTAACATCAAAAGATGTCATGGGTAGTATTGAGGCTTTTGGCTGGACAATTTTCTTCCATTATCGAAACGTGGAGCTCAGCTGCTCAATTTTTATAGTTAGGCAAGTAATTGAATAGACTTTTGATAACATAACATGACATATAGTGATGTCGCTAAAGTGTAGGTAGGCCTGATCAGCTGATGTGGCCTGTCGCCGATTCTTGAACTTTTTGTGACTTGTTCACAGAAGATCTAAAATAGTGTCATTTGACCGGATCTTCTCAAGACTGACGATAGTTTAAAATAGCTACTAGACTTCCACCGGGTTCGTTATTCATTTCAAGTCTGAACATATATTTTTCCATAGCTTTATCTAGCCTGTTCTTAAACGCGTTCATACTCGGAGCGCCAACGATGTAATCAGGTAGGCTGTTCCACATGTCGGTGATTCGAAGCGAGAAGAAATGTTGTCGCGTGGACAAGTTGCAGCGCAGTTTTTTTTAGTTTATAGCCACGGCCCCTGGTGTTAGTTCTTGTTTCAAATTCTAGTAATCCTTTGGGGACCTTGTATAAACCATGAGTGTACTTGTATACTTCAATGAGGTCCCCAAGCAGACGTCGATAACTGAGGCTTGGAAGCTTCATAATCTTTAATCTTTCTTCGTAGGACTTGCCCTTCAAGCCTGGAATTATCATTGTTGCACGTCTTCGAACATACTCTATTTAATTCAAGTCCTTTACAAATCTCGGTGACCACACAACGTTTCCAAACTCTAGATTCGGGCGCACGACAGCAACAAGCAACTGCTTCATCGCTTCTGCATCTAGGAACTCGTACGAGCGTCTGATTAGATCAAGAAGTTTATTGATGTATTAGCTTTCGTTTCAACTTGCTTAGAAAATTTCAGCTCCTCGTCGACATAAACTCCGAGATCTTTTCCCACACTAGACTTTTCAATCATTACGCTTTCGTTGCAACCTTGTCTTCTCATACTGTAATCTTGCTGTTCATTGTTCTTCAAGAGGTGAAGTACTTTACACTTGTCAGCATTAAACCGCAGCTGCCACATATCAGCCCAGTTAACTAAACTGTCAAGATCATCTTGCAATAGCACTTTATTTGACGCATCCTTCACTGTATTATAAATTTTTGCGTCGTCGGCATACATGGAGCACACGCTGGACACTACTTCTGGTAGATCGTTTATAAAAGCAACGAATAGAATAGGCCCAAGAACGCTTCCTTGCGGCATGCCACTGCGCACAGATGCCCAGTCGAACACAGTTCCGTTAATGCTGACACGTTGTCGTCTACCTACTAGAAAGTCTCTTTCCCTCAATTCCCAAAGACTTCACTTTACGTTTCCCTCAATTCCCAAAGACTTCACTTTACGTAACAGCCGCTTATGCGGAACACTGTCAAATGCTTTGGCAAAATCGAGGTACAATGCATCCACTGGCTCTCTTTCGTCCAGAAGGCCGCGAGTCCAATCGTTCAACGTAGACAATAAGTTAGTGGTGCAGGATCTACCGGCAATAAAACCATGTTGACAATCTGATGGGAGATGGTGAGCAGTCAAGTGATCGATAATCCTATCTCTCACAACAGATTACATTATCTTACAAACAACACTTTGATGAAGCATAGTTGAATGATTGAAAATTTCGACTAACTCAGAAAGAAAATTAAACGATGATTATGCGATACTATATACATATGTATTTATAAAAATGAAGCAACAGCCTTATTGACGTCTATTTACACACAATTGCAGGCAACATCAGTAGCTAGGAGGTCATCATATATAAAATCACCTGGCCCTTGAAAACCAAATCACAGCATTTTAATATTTCATTTCCTTGGTGATCTTTGTCGACAACGCATTTAAAAGATTTAATTTCAAACAATAATAAATACAATTAAATAGCCCGTCGTCATCCATCAACAGGCGCTGGAAAGAAATAACCAAAAGATCTCAAGAGTCAATTACAAAACCACTACAGCACTAACACCAAAAAGCTAATGATATATTGCCATTGAATGACTGTTCTATGCTGATATGGGAGCTCTAGTTCTATTTTCCATAACTACATAAACGTCAGCTTCTTCAAAAACGAAAGCAGCACCAGAAATTACAAAGAATGAGTATTGTAGTCGGAATAATATCACACCAGATACACTTGAACATTGACCGGCTCTTGCTTTGCGAGCGGCTTAATGCTGTAGAACATTGAGATAGATGATCAAATTAGGTTGGTACGGAGATGACATAACATGCGCATCAGTGGGATCAATTTTGAATATCAAAAACATGAGAGCTACGTGGAATAATCCACAAAAGGTGACTTGCATCAAGAGAAACGCGATAGAATTGCCACGAAGCGAGCAGCGGAGGAAACGCGTCTCCGCATTGACTTGCGACTCGCTGGAGCTAAATTCGTAGCAATAACAATACAGTTGCCACAGTTCATTTAGGAATTTGGGCTAATTTGATATACAACCATTTATGCCACACAGCTAGCAACAAATTTTGAACCGCGATCGGAGACATGTTCGTGGCCCATCAGCAGATTAAGTAAAATAATTTACAAGGAAGTTTCCATCATCAGAAGCGCAGGTGGATGCCATCGTTGAAATTTAAATAGGAAGAAAATAATGATGAATAACTGTACAATCAGTAGGTCTTGAAACCGATATTAAAAAGTGTAACCACTACGCGTATACAAACATGCCTCTTATCATGCAACTTCAAAACTTGCAGAAGCTATACTATATGGACACATCGTCGAGGCATCTGACGTTGAAATCTTGGTACAACGTAAAATAAAAATTGTACCAAGGAAATCAACTGGTACTCAACTTTGTTTCTACGTCATTTGCACGGCGAGCAGTCGTTGTGGTCTATAATTAGCGTATTCGAGGCGTACCTCTCAAATATACTGTCGATCTCTTCGATGCATTTCCCATTATAAAAAAATGCTTTACAGCAATGAAGTTGAAAGATACTCTATGACACGTGAAGCAATACGAGTACGCCTTACTGACTATTAAAATTTCCTTATAATTGTACGTTATATAAAGAGACGCTGTCCAGAAGCATTAGTTCGACCATATTTCAATTGAAACAAAAGATTTCGAGAACAATTCCAGGTTAGTTCACTATCAGGTCCTATTGCAATTTCATTTTAAATAAAGCTAAAAAAATAACATTTATTTATGTGTAAATATCATTTTATCTACGTCTTTTATTTGCACAAGGCGTGGAAGGCCAAGTTGCGTCTACATTAAAATTGTAGCAGTTGGCACGCGACATTCATGCACATGCTTCACTGGTGCGTGGAGCGATTATCTGTTTGTTGTAGTAAGAGTGAAGAAGAACAAGTATGATGGGTTGAACAGCACAAACTAAACATCAACATATTATTTCAAATGTTTCAATTCAGTGCGTGCAAGTACTATACTGATAGCAACACATTAACATCTGACAGCGTCAGCAGGCACCTCTGTCAGCCTCGTCGAGCATGGCAAGTAAAGTCGCAGTGATGCCCAATGAAAATTTACAGACGCGTCAGCTTCTGATTTTGAGTACCAGAGGCTGGGGCGACTCTAAATTTTATTAGGGTGTGAGGTCGCTACCAAGGACTGCAAAATTGTTAATGTGATTAACACGGGTTGAAATACTACCAGCGAGTACCGTACATTTATAGTCACACATGATCACATCGATTAGAAAATCTAACTTTGTCTATATTAGAGCAACAAAATTAGCAGGCATGAAGAAATAGAACTTAATTCAACTGTCGAAACGAAAATTCAACGCTGTAATCGTATTGATTCTACAAGGATTTACCGCAAATGAAATAAGTTTCCATTAAACGTCAATTAAGGGCTGAGCTGATCATAGATAAAGTTAGAAATTAGTTGAAATTACTCCAATAATTGGAACAAATGCCGAGATCAACTAATCAAATAGAAACGTCGGCCACTGCGGACGGAATTGCTGACTCAAGCACAAACTTTCACCTGTAGGGAAAAAACGATGAGCACTGCAAGTAAACAAAATGATGGAACATCGAAATCAGCGCTTTTTTTAAGAATGATTGTAGGAAAAGAAAAACAATGAAGCCGCTGAGAAGCGTAGCAGCCTCGCGTGAAGCAGCGCTTATTTTATAAAAATTTTTGCATTAAAAGAAAAAAAATCATGCCGCTGAGAAGCGGAGCACACTCGTGTTACATGAATACATGAAAGGCAAGGAAGTAATACGAAGTCGCTTTGAGAAGACATTATTACTCAATTCCCTCGGCGTCAGTGTTTTACTGGTAGTAATATATAATAAAATGGAGGATCAACATTGACTGTTCAAAACCATTAGACAAATTCTGATACCACATCAAAAATGCTTTCCAAGGCGACATTAGAATTTCAGAAGAAAAACAAACTCTAATACTCAGCTTCTAATTGGGTGATCATGTTTATTCACCGATAAAATTGGTAGTGGAAAAAAAGACAACTACTTCACCAGCATTGAAACAATTCCGACGTTGTTCGAAAATTCCTGCAGTTCAAACTGGAGCTTTTACAATAAGCGCACATATTGATAGGTTCTCATACTAAACACGTTTATATAGATCAGAGACCGGCCAGAGAGGCAAATAATATACAATACTAATGAAAAGAAACGAATACAACATTGCATTCAGTACAAAGTCCTGTAGCTTCAACAAATCGTTGATCTCGCACTCAGGACCTAAAAAATATAACGCGATATTATAATAAACACAAGTAAATGAAATAACCAGTTCAAGATATCCAAATAAGGCAAAAATATCGCAACGTGTAAATAGCAATAAAGCCGATAATTATGCTGCACAAAAACAGAAAGAAAGACTTTCAAGAGCTTGGGACGCGCGGGTAACACAAGTATCAAAATGTCACTTCAATCTTAGCAAAGCATTCAGTATAATCGGCATATCTTTGCTCATTCAATGCTGCGTTCAATAAGCAATACTTTTAATAAATTTAAACAGAGATGGTGTGGAGTGGAAAATCAAGAGGTGTTCGAAAATTATACAGGCAACTATTCAGAATGTTACTCAAGAGATTTGTGAAGCGAGCACATGAAAATGACCGGATCACATGCGTGTTCTGTAACTTAATATTTTATTTTGGGGCAAAAATCAAGCATTATCTACGCCACGAAATATTTGTGCAGCGCTGACGTTAATCCCACGGGAGCTGCAAGTAACGGAAGCAATGTGTGCGAACCACAGTGAGCTCCAGGGGGCAAAACTTGTGTAAAATCCCAGAATGATTCGCCAACAAGAATTTACCTTAAACGCCAATGTACTGAGCCCATAATTAGCCACAACAATATAAGTCATTCCTTTACATTCTGTACAACCTTAACTGAACATGTGAGAAACAATCACATATAACATGGCTAAAATATACAATACATGGATTTCTCAAGTTTTACTTTAAATAACTATCAATACCAAATTGTGAGGGAAAACGTTGATGAAAATAGGGTTATTTATTTGACGAAATAGATTTCAACATAGTGTAAACCTTCTTTGCTATAAAAAAACAGCGTTCGTGGATGAGTCAGTGAGAAATGATCCACTGGCAGGCGAGCGGTGGATCAGTGGGAAATGATCCACTGGCAGGCGAGCGGTGGATCAGTGGGAAATGATCCACTGGCAGGTGAGTGGTGGATCAGTGCGAGATGATATGCGATGCGAAGAGCACCAACTCCCAGAGTAGCGACGCTGCGCCCTCCAGCAGATCGTCAGTGGCCGCAGCTACTGAGCCAGCCAACACTGATACAACCGTCATGCTGGGCAGCGCTGTCACCACGCTAGATGCCCTCGCCATGCTTGGTACAGCTGTTACGCTGGGCATCTCTGTCACGGCGGGATAGTCTGATGCAACTGACTGCACTGTATCACGCTCAAAATTATATGCACCAGAGACCTCATGAGCACTCTGGGCCTCAAGAGCACCTCGGGTCTCGATAGCGCTGGAAAACTCGCGAGCACTCGAGAGCACCAATGAGCACGACGGAGCAGCGCCAGCAGCAGCAGCCCGCGGAGCACCTCGACGAAGCTCGCGGCATCACGCGCCTCCTTCTGCTGGGCCAGCGTCTGGCTGTCGGGTTCGAGTCATTAGAAAATAAAACCTATATGTGGACGTCACCAGTTTTACTTGCCTAAAAAATTTCCAATACTTCTCATCATTATCGACCAATATGACCGTCAAAATTAATCAATATTTCAAGCACGAGTTGTAACGCGACAAATGGCTGATCTTAGAACCGTTTGGGTTTGGTGCTCGCCATGAGTGAATATATAGCAACTCTTACGATTACGATACACAGTACTCAACTAAAAAACTCAACGTCAAGACGCAACTTTACCGTGGAAAAATATAAGCGAGCAGCTTTCCGGAGCAGAAGGGGGATAGAAACTGTTGACTAACTAGCCTAATAATAATTCTCTTCACCATAAGACATAGGAGCTCACCTTGGCGTCAGTGGGAGGCAAAGGAGGACAGGTTTCCAATGCAGCGTCTGGTGCGCTTCTGTGTACTGCTGGCGGAACGTCGGCAGCGGCCGCCTGAGGGACAGCAATCTCAGCTACAGAGGGCTGGGACACGCCTCCAGATGCAGCAGCGGCAGCGGCCGCCGCAAGATTCCTGTCAAGAACAAGTGCCGCTCCTCCAGCATCATCTTCATCCTGCAGCTCAGCAGGTCTCTGAGCAAGCGCCTCACCCTCTTTTTGCGGCACAGGGTGCGCATGAAGCCCCTCGGGCACAGCATTGGATGCAGCGGGCAGCGCTCGAGGCACTGCAGCGGCGGCATCCAGCACTGCAGGAGCAAGAGGACGAGCGTCGTGCCGCAGGGGGTCCTGAGCACGAGCCACGTCCATGGTGAGCAGCATCGGGGGAGGGTCCAGGGTCACGACGCGTTCCGGTGCGGGGTCCGTGGTCGCCTCCGCCAGGTCCGTCACTGACTTGCTCTTGACGCACTGCAGGAACAGAGGCGTCACAGTTACAACGCTTCACAGAGCATAATAACAACAAGATGATGTTGATGAATAATAAAATCATAAGATGAAGGATCATACCGATAAACAATGCAAAATTTGTATGAAGCAGTAGACTATACCTAGCGAACGGGTACAATCCACACATGGGCGTTACAGTGCATAAGTATTTAAAAATATTTTCCACGCATATGAAAGTACCCATTTATATAAAAACACTATAGTGAGTAGAACAATATTTAAATAACGCATGTAATATCAGCATAAGTTCTCCTTTTATCACAAATGACTAACGGCTGTTGGCAGAAGATCAGAAACACCTGCTTCCTAATAGAATAACAGAAAAGAACGACTCGTGCTCATTTCAGGATCAGCCATTATATACATGGTGAACGAATTTTGTGATGTAGGCTGACCTGGAAGTCGACATGACGACTCTTGGCTTCCTCCTTCTCCCAGGACATACGCATGAACGGCCGCTGTACGTAATTGTAGATCACCTCAGCACGACCACCTGCACCAGGCAAGAGGTGTTCGATAACGTCACAACATCATTACAGGAATTCAATTACTCATGAACACCTGTTATCAAATTTAAAAACCACAACCACGAAACGGATTGACACCGTGAATGTAAACTAAACGCATTCTTTAATGGTATAGAATTTGGCTCCTCGTACGGTATAAAAACTCGGTGCGCGCACTGGCGTTTTCCCGAAATGCGTCCTGTGCGTCTGCACAGTTTTGAAGAGTATGCGGCAAAAAGTAAAAAAGGTAATTTCAGAGCATGAAAAAAGACTCATGTGGGGAAATAAAATCGACGTGGTATTTAAATAGGCGAATTTCAGTCCTAAGATTAGCAAAGCTTAATTATTTGCCCCTTGAAAACATACCTGGACGTTTCTTGACTTTCTCTTTATAGGTGGGGTAGCCTTCAATACCGAGCCTGATCTTCTTCAGGCCTCGCTCTTTCAGCACCTAAATCAACAAATACATATGCACAAATCACAATTGAGTATTAGCACAATTTAAGTAAATGCATTTGCAACAACCATCTGTTCATTACAAGATTTAGATGAAATGGAAGGCTTTATAGCACCAGAAAGCTTACAGTTTACATCAAGCCGAACTCAGTCAAGCAGTCAAGTGAATGACTCAAAACTATCATTATTCGACGGTGTAACTTGAAACTGTGGGAGCGGCTTCAAACTTTCTTTCAATTCATTCCAATATGACAAATAATAAACTTTTGAGACATAACTCCACAACGTGGATGACATTACTAAGCAATGGTTCAGTATTTCAGGTATTAATAATACTGTATGGCGTATTTGTTATATACTAAGACATCAGCTGGAAAAAATAATAGTATCGATAGATTGTAGGTATTTAAGAGCATTGTGGCGCTAATGGATACGAGGGCGCACCTGGGCTAATAGAAATAATGAAGCCACTAACCTGCTTGGCAACGTCTCTGTTCTCGATGTATTTGAAGAAACGATACATGGCAGTTGAACACACAGCTGCCGATGCAAGGGTCACGTTAATATATAGATTGACAAATTATCTACCTATAGAAATAATAAAATTCGTTAGTCAGAGGACGGAATGTGATATATCTTACGAAACGAAGCTAAATGTATATGTATTTTGACAGTTATGAGCTGTAAATTTACCAGAATGTTTTTAACATTTAAAAATAACGAGGTCAAAGTTCATACAGAGCTCATTAGCGAGTAGATTTATAACACAGTCATGCACCAGTGTGACCTAATAATTTCTTATATTATAATAACAACTTCATCATCGATGATCATCGCAACTTACTCCTGGTATATTCCTCGCCCATCTGGGGAGGGTAGTCATGGTCCCACTCTACGGTGTCATCGTCCAGAAGTATGACGATGTGTGCCTCACGGTCCCCGCGCTGGGCCGCCCCCACCATCAGAGGCAGGATGTGCTGCTCTAAGAACACCTCGAACTGCTCCCGCGCCCCCTCGTTGCTTAGCTCGTGCAGCAACCCGCCTGCAAAATTAATACATTTAGTAATAATTCATTTTACAGCAAGTCACTTCCAACAGTAGGTAATCCAGAAAAATAATTAAATATTTTTTTTTCACTACCGGTGAATGTAAGAGACGTGAATGGGTCCACAGAGCTCTGATGCCGCAATTGCTTACCAACGCTACAGACGTCACTAAATTATTTTAAATGAAGCCTTCGTGACACGGATAATAAATAATAAAGCCTACTTAGCTCGTGCAGCAACCCGCCTGCAAAATTAATACATTTAGTAATAATTCATTTTACAGCAAGTCACTTCCAACAGTAGGTAATCCAGAAAAAATTAAATATTTTATTTTCACTACCGGTGAATGTAAGAAACGTGATTGGGTCCGCAGAACTCTGATGCCGCAATTGCTTACCAACGCTACAGACGTCACTAAATTATTTTAAATGAAGCCTTCGTGACACGGATAATAAATAATAAAGTCTTACAATATTCTTCGGGAGGGAAAATGTGTGCATGAACTGTGAAGTAAATTACTCACGCAGGTTCCAGCACTTGACGGTGTGGGCGTCGAAGGGGATGAGGAAATAATCCGTGGCTTCTCTGAGCTCCTGCACCGTCACTGACGGAGGGCAGCGGACCACGCCTGTCCTGAGGGGTCAGTGAGTGGCAAAGATAAACAACGTTGGGATGACGTCACGCAATTTTTATTCTAGGATCGCGGAGCATAGAGGGAGGGGTACAGGACTGGATAGTTACTGTCGCGCCCTCCTCATTCGGCTATGCACACTCACGCCAGAGAGTGTCATATTTCACAGTACTCACTCACTGCAGTGAGTACTGAGTTATATTTTTTCTTTTTAATTTCGAATGTATTAACTAATGATTGTATTTGTTTTCTACATTTTCCGAACTGACAATAGAGCTGGACTCGGAAAACTTTTTAATAGAGATATGGTGAATTTTTGTGTATCTTTCTTCTATTATCAATTTTTATTGAATTTTCGATTCAAGCCATTTATTGACATTAAAAATAAACAAGCTGTGACAAACATGGCCAAGCATTGGTCAAATAGTAAGTAATAGTCTGCAAATTACAATTAATGTTTTCTGTTTTATAGACTGATAAATAATTTCAAGGCAGAAAACTATCCAAGTTCAACCATTTATTACTTAGCAGCTGTTTGTCTGATTTGAGTTTCAGCCACGTGAGCAGTGAGTATAAATACTCAAGCTACTTGAGCTCCCTTCATCTTACACGCGCAAACTTGCAAACGAGAAAGTTTCATTTTGTGTGGCGATCATCAAGTATCTTTCAATATTTCATTAAGTGAAGAATTATTACAATCGCATAAGGCGATAACGACGAATGATTAAAATCGCGCTTTATTTTCCAAGTCAAAGCTCAATAATTTGCTTCTTTCAAGTAAACGATGAAAGACTGTAATATACTCTCAGTTTATTGATTTTGTAATCACAATCATCATTGAAAGTTCAATGACGAGATCACAACATGGCGCAGTATCAGACCTGTAGTAGTCGAGCAGCGCCCTGAAGACGGCGGCACTGAAGCCCTCGGCGATCTCGTACTCGCCGCGGTCGTTCGGTCTGCTGAACTCCAGGCCTGACGTGAACATCCTGTATACGGGACAGTACGTGAACATTTTGTACATGACACACACACTTTTAAAAAATTCTGAGGCTTTCCATATGAAAAAAAAAAACTTATTTTCCATATTCGAGGAACACATTGAGGCATCAACTTTTACGCCATTTAGACCAAAAAACTAATTCAAGCATATGAGCTGATTTTATGGCAGCGTTAGCTAATATTGATTTAATTGCAATTATTTGTGACAGGGTTTGCTTAGCGGAGTAGGCTGTGCAGCACAGCACTCCGGCCTCATCACACTAGGAGTGTCGCAGAGTGATGTTACATGTGCACTGTTTTTGGCCGTGGATGCAGTTGCATCCGGTCAGCCTAGTTTTAGCTCTGCCTTTAGTGGCAGCTGATTATACTGATATTGTATCAGCAATTTCATTCACCTCATACAACCAGAGTCTGGATGTTGCCGCTGCCGCAAATTGTGAATAAATTTTTCGCCTAAGTAACTCTAGTCATGTCAATTGTTACGTGTTTACGTATTATGATCAAATTCAAGAAGAACTACTATATTGTCAATAGTATGTCAATGTAAGGCAAGCAAGCCTTTGTTCTTCAATTGTATGCCAGATTCCATCAAGTACAGTTCCCCAAACCTATAGTCTCGTCTCTGCCATCTTCCCTTTTAGCTGGGACTTTCAAGTCATACGATTAGCAAACGTAACATCAATGTAGCGCTTAGATTGAAAAATTTTCAATTCCACAAATAAAATATTCGAGCATCCATGGGGCACTGGAAGACGATTGCGCCTCCTTAATGAAAACTATTCAGGCATGTACAGGTGCGTGCAGACCTGCCCAGCATGGTCTGCACGCACCTGCCCAGCATGGTCTGCTGCACGCACCTGCCCAGCATGGTCTGCACGCACCTGCCCAGCATGGTCTCAGGGTGGGCTGTGAAGATGGCAGGGTCTACGATGAAGCGCGTGCCGTCCACGACGAGGGTGACGCGACTGTCGCTGCAGCTGCTGTACTCCGCCGCTGCTGTGGTGGTGGCGCTGCTGGTGCCGCCGCTGCTGCTGCTGCTGCTCAGCTGCTGTGGAGTACAAAGAAGCGTTACTCAGCAACTCAGTGCACCGACACTCAACACAGCGCTGCTCGGCCACTCAGTATCCTTAATATTTGTTTCGGACGTAGGAGTCCCAGGCCACGATGGATCGCCGCCTCTGACTATCGCCGCCCTCATTTGGGCCACCTGATGCACGATGCTGTTGCTTGCTTCTTGCCGCTGGTAGTGTTGCAGGGGAGGTCGATCTGGGATTGTGCCCAGGAAAACGTCCAGTTGTCTCTTGAAGGTCTCCAGGGGGAACTCTCTCTTTGATCCTTTGGTAGGACGTTGAACAGCCTTGGCCCTGCCACGGAAAGTGATCCTTCCCACACGGATTGAAATCTGACTGCAGATCTGTTACGTAGTGGGGGGATCTTGCACAGTCTCCCCCTTCTCTCGTTGTGATAGTCTGGCATCATGATAGCCAACATAGAGGGGCTCTTCAAGGAAAAAACGCCACAAGATCGGCGTACAAATTGCTGTGACAGAAGGAATAATCATGCTTGCCTTAACCGAGTCATTTCTAAGAGAGGATATCCAAGATGGAAAAATCTAAATGAAAGGCTTTCAACGTTACCGATAATACCGAAAAGAATGGAGGGAAAAGGAGGCGTTATAGTCCACCTCAAAAACTCACTCGCGGCAAAAACAGTTCCTCTGCATTTAGGCTCCAATGAATATATGGAACATGTTATATTATACATCTCCCATCTCCAATTATGCATAGCTATCGTATACCGATCGCCTGAAAAATTCAATGAAAATCTTGAGAGAATAGGAGGTTGCCGACTTGGGTGAACCTTCCCTAATCATTGTGGTTGCAGGAGATTTTAACCTACCACGCGTACGATGGCCACACTTGGACAGTGTAGGACGGCGCAGTGATCAGGAGGGCAACACAACTACTTCGATTCGCTAGGGAGCACTTGCTAAGTCAACAGGTGCTGGTGCCAAAAAGAGAACACAATATCTTAGATCTATTCTTCACCAGCAATGAAGATTTAGAGGTATTACAAGGGCTCTAAAGAGCGTGATCATTGGTTCCGCTTCTCTTGTTCTGAACGTCCGCCAGATCCACCTCATCTGTCGCCTACCTCTTGCGGTTATTTTCGTTATGTGACCATCAAAATTGACCTGAGTATTCATCAACACTCCTAGATTGCGAACGAGTCGCTTCTCTTCGATTTCCAAGTTGTCAGGTGCTAGGTAGCGGTGCTCCAGACCAGCTCTTCCGTTACCTCTGTATAACAGTGTACGCACAAAACCGCTGCTCAGCAACTTAGGACACACACGATTAACACAAACCAAAGAATAGCTTTAACTGTTGGTTGTCGGAATCATTACTTACGAAATACACGTGAATCTAATTGGAGAATAACAATAAATGCTGTTATATAGACCATTAATGGTATTAAAATTTCACCTAAATTATTCTCTTCGCTAAAATCAAGGCTCAGGTAGTCTTAAAGCACGTTCAAAAATAAGTGTTATTGGATGGCCTTCAGCCATGGAGAAGTCAATTAGTTCAACAATTTACAGTTGGCCGACGATGATTAAGTGACAAATTTCTTACCTGGTGTCCAGGTATGCGGGAGTGCATGAGAGGGGAGGAGTGGGGTGAGGGATGAGGGGACGTGTGGGACGAGTTGTGAGGGGAAGAGTCGTCATGGGATGACGAATGTCCCAGCACACCCCGCGACAGTCCCCCACTGCGGCTGCGGGTCCTGTCAACGTCATAATTCGTTGACTGGTCCTGTCAACAGACCCGTCATAATGACGGGTTCTGTCAACGTCATAACTTGTTGACGAGTCCTGTCAACAGACCCGTCATAATGACGGGTTCTGTCAACGTCATAACTTGCACTCGCAGGAAGGGCCAAGATTTGCCCTAAACAGCAAAGTAGTTTTTGCTCTTGTGCGAGTCATCCTGAGCAAGCTTGGTTCGTAAAAAAGCGTATCAATGCTACGTGTGCACGTGTAGAAAAAGTTGCCACAATTGGGACATTATGATCCATTCTTTTCTGTGAGTGTATGAGCCCCACAACAATGACCCTCGAATGTATAACATTCGCATGAATTTTTTTGCTTAGGTGATTGGTATGAGGATACTGCTACAATAGGCAGATCTTTATCATTCTAAAATGGAAAAAATGATTAAATTATCATCAGAAAGGCAAGAATATAGGTAGTTCAAAACTAGTATGGCTTCACTTATATACATTACTAAAAAACATTTTAGCTTGACACATCAATTCCTCAGACCACACGTCAAGTAATAAACAAGCAATTTCGTTAGCATGAAGAAATGATGAGATTGGCAAACACCGTTCGACGCTGAATGCCGTCTTTTTGGAGAAACAATGGCGTTAGAGCATCACCGCTACATGCAAAACAGTCAACAAATGGCTGCGTTTAGCACAATAACGTTCTAGATGAGAGTCGACTGAGGTAATAACATTATGCACAATAGCAGGATAGGTTTAAAGAGAGCAGCCTCATACAGCTAAGTGCTGCGCTCGATTCCCAATAAAAGCGCTGGTTTTGAGCTGAGCGACGCGCGCGATCGAGATTACAGATAGGAATATGCTTACAAGAGGTCACGCGATCCCTTAGGATTCATTCGACGCATTCCTGAGAACGCGAGCCGCAGAAAATCACACGAGATTTGAAGAAGATTTCAAATTAAGCGAATATACCAGAGTGGGCGCTACGCTTTACCACAAAGAATCAATGAAATCATTTATTTAATACAACGACTCTAGACACTCAGACTTCATTTCGATTCAATGCAACTGAAAGACACGTATAGTATCGCTAGCAATGAATAAGCAATTTAAAAAGTATTAGATAGTTTCATCAGTTCGGCTATCACAACGATCCACAAATTGAAGAATTGAGACATTTTAACAGTTCGTAAGGAAAAATATGGCAACCAAGTTATAGCACAATTCGACAATTAACATAATTTAAAGTTCCAAATCGAGAGCCGGAAATATTTTTAGCAAAATAGAAGAGCTGAACTGAGCGTGAGATCACGGCACGTGATAAGGATGAGATAAGCACTCACCCCTGATGTCGGTGCTTGCTGGAGTCACTGGACCTGGGAGGGGACAGAGCAGAGCCCAGCGTGCCTCTGAACTGCTGGGCGCCGTTGCTGCTGTCGCGCTGCACCAGGATGCTCTTGCGTTTAGGCGACGAGCTGTGGTACCTGCACACATGTTAGATCAACGCGGCTTGTCACACAGTTGTATTAATGCATACAAGTCAATACAATGCTTCTGATATGTGGTTTATGTCGCCAAACGGTCCTGAAGTGTTGCTATGACACTAATGATGAACATGAGCGAGTCATTTTAGAAATTATGTAATAAAATTCAATATAATGTTTGCAGAAAAGTAAAAATTATAGAATAAATACATTCGAGTGCACTGCAATGAAACAATTATTTGCGCAATTGCAAGCAGAGTGGGCATTGATTAAATCAAACTGATTAAATCATGTGATTAAATCATTTGATTTTTTTGTAATAAAATCATGATTTTTTTATTTTTTTATATATTTATATATATTGAGTGGCAGTCTTCAATTTATTTGAAGGTACTGTTATTCATGGTTTAGTATAAATGTACTATGACAAATTGGTATATAAACTTGTTGCCTTTAGTGTGTATTAGGTTCCAATAAATTGAATGTTTTTGGTACAGAGGTACCAAGAGTGCAATACATTGTACATAGCTAACAGCTTAGCTAATTCTTATAAGGCTATAAGTAGTCTTTAACTAACTATTTGACTATTTGTTATATATTAATTACAATACACAATTTAAATGTGTTAGATAGCTTATAAATGGTGGGGCAAAATTGATTGAACAATTTTGAGGTAAAATAAAAGAGTAATAGAGATAGATACATAAAGAAAAAAGTTTATTTTCCTCACGGTTAGCATAACATGCCATTTAAAATACTCATGTTTTGAAAACAATAAATATCAGGAAGATGGGGTTTGTTAGCTGCATCACACTGTTGGAGTCATTCTCGGAAGTTTTCTACAGCACGTTCACACATATGGCGAGCTATGGCCATAACCTCTGCTGCAATAATTCGTTCCCTTAGCTGTGGTAGGGTGTGAGGGCAACTACTGAACTCTTTTAGATGTCCATAAAGAAAGAAATCGCAAATGCTCAAATCAGGTGACTCGCAGGCCACTGTAAATCACCCCTCAGACACCAGACCTCCGGGAACATGCGTCTCAAAACATTGAGTGACACGCGGGCTGTGTGAGCTGTAGCCCCATCCTGCTGGAACCACACGTCTCTCAATGCTTCATTTTCAACAATGTTTTCCATCATGGGCTGCAAGAAATTTTGCAACATTGCAGCATAGCGTTCAGAATTCACTGTCACGGTTACTTCCTCCTCCAAGAACGACTCCAACAGTGTGTTGCAGCTAACGGCCCCCATCTTCCAGATATTGTTTTCAAAACATAAGTACCGGTATTCTAAATGGTATGTTATGCTAACCTTGAAGAAAATAAACTTTCTTCTTTATGTACCTCCAATACTCTTTTATTTTGCCTAAAAACTGCTCAATCGGTTCTGCCCCACCTTGTATATTGAGATGTTGAGATTGTATTGACCTTTTAGGCAATTAGAAAGATTGTCCATCCTAATATGAGTATTCTAATTAAAATATTTGATTTCTATCTTTAAATGTCATTTTAAAACTAGAAACAAAACAGTTACGATTATAAACAATCTATAAAATAAATAAATGCAGTGAGAGGAAATAAAATAATTGAATCAAGAGAGAGAGGTGGGTCAAGAGAGATGGGTGGGTCAAGAGAGAGAGGTGGGTCAAGAGAGAGGTGGGTCAAGAGAGAGAGAGGTGGGTCAAGAGCTGTCTCTTATACACATCTAGATGTGTATAAGAGACAGTTAAGGTATTGTTATTCTTGGTTTAGTATAAATGTACCTACTATGACAAATTGAAATATAAACTTGTTGCCTTTAGTGTGTATTAGGTTCCAATAAATTGAATGTTTTTGGTACAGAGGCATCAAGTGTTGCAATACATTGTACATATAACATAGCTAGCAGCTTAGCTAATTCTTATAAGGCTATAAGTAGTCTTTAGCTATTTGACTATTTGTTATATATTGATTTCAATATACAATTTAAATGTGTTAGCTAGCTTATACAGGGTGGGGCAGAACCGATTGAGCAGTTTTGAGGCGAAATATGGAGGTACAATGAAGAAGTAATAAATGGAGGTACATGAAGAAGAAAGTTCATTATCCTTGAGGTTAGTATAACATACCATTTAAAATACTTATGTTTTGCAAGCAATATCAGGAAGATGGGGTTTGTTAGCTGCATCACACTGTTGGAGTTGCTCTTGGAAGTTTCCTACAGCATGTTCACACATATGGCGAGGTATGGCCATAACCTCTGGTGCAATAATCCGTTCCCTTAGCTGTGGTAGGGTGTGAGGGCGACTTCTAAACCCCTTTCTTTTAGATGAGCCCAAAGACAGAAATCACAAATGCTCATATCAGGGCCTATACCATCAAAAAAAGTCAAGAGATCGTAAGTTCATCAGCCAATCATTGACGGTCTTCCAAGCAAAATCCACCAATCATAGACAAGAAAATAGAGCGTAAGTACTTATGGTCACTTAGCGAGTTTTGAAAGTATGACCCCTGACTCGGTAGCGTAGGCGTATGTTTACAGATTAAGTGTCGTCATCAGCTGACCTCGCAGGCCACTGTAAATCACCCCTCAGAGACACCAGACGTCCGGGAAACATGCATTTAAAAACATTGAGTGACATTCGGGCTCTGCCAACTGTAGCCCCATCCTGCTGGAACCACGTGTCTCCCAATGCTTCACTTTCAACAATGTTTTCCATCATGGGCTGCAAGAAATTTTGCAATATTGCAGCATAGCGTTCGGAATTCACTGCCACGATTACCGGTACTCCCACCTCAAAGAACGACTCCAACAGTGTGTTGCAGCCAACGGCCACCATCTTCCAGATATTGTTTTCAAAACATAAGTAGTCTAAATGGTATGTTATGCTAACCTTGAAGAATATAAACTTTCTTCTTTATGTACCTCCATTACTCTTTTATTTTACCTCAAAACTGCTCAATCGGTTCTGCTTCACCCTGTATATTGATGGGTTGAGATTGTATTGACCTTTTAGGCAATTTGAAAGATTTCCCACCCTAATACAAGTATTTTAATTAAAATGCTTAATTTCAATCTTTAAATGTCATTTTAAACTAGAAACAAAACAGTTACAATTATAAACAATACATAAAATAAATAAATGCAGTGAATGGAAATAAATGTTTGAATTGCGCATATGTTCATTTCAAACAGTGTTAGCTTTTCTCATAACATTAGACTCGTTTCAAGTCGTTTGAGGTTTGTTGGGTTATCGTTCAGTTCATGTTTAGTATTGATTTATTTGTCTGAATCAAATGGGAACAGTACATGTCAGTCACTCTGTCACTAGTAGTCAGTGTGTTTAGACTTGAGAAGGTAGAGTCTGGTAGATTTATGGGACATAAAACCAGTAGATCTATTGATAGTGTGCACTGTGCTGTCAGCTACCTATTTGTTATGCGACTCTTCAATGTTTAGAAGATCTGCATTCCTGAAGTATTTTTGTATATTGAAGCCAGTTAAATGGTCAATACTGTATTTAGCTCATTACCTTGCTCCATACAAACTTTACAAAGCTAATGAATAGGCTTATCAATAATTGTTTACCCAAAAGTCCCAAAGTGGTAAACACTACCTTGGCCATAATTGAAGGCAATAAGTGCCCTTTTTAGACATTTATTTTGATCCATATACTGTTATCGTTAGTAGGCTAATTGCAACATAAAAAAAAAAAACTTTACAAAAAAGACAAAAAAACTGAAAAAAATAAATAAAAAAATCACAAATAAATCAAATAAGTCATTGATTTTTCATTTTTTTTAATAAAAAAATCACCAATATGATGTTATTGGAAAAAATCACCAATATGATGTTAAATCAATATGATGTTATTGGCTTTACTTGTAGAATGAAAAAAACACAAATATCCAACATATTGACGAATAGGTATATTAAATTAATTAAGAGATAATAAAGTTTCACCAGCCATGGTGAAAAAAAGTTTCCCAAAAAAACACAAAAAAGAAAAGCGTGACAAAAATTGCCACTCGACGCCGCAGAAACAAATGACAACATAAATGATGAAGCCGAGACTTTAAGAAGATGTGACTCGATGTTGCTAACAGTGAGAGGTGGGTCAAGAGAGGGGTGGGTCAAGAGAGAGAGGTGGGTCAAGAGAGGGGTGGGTCAAGAGAGAGAGGTGGGTCAAGAGAGGGGTGGGTCAAGAGAATCAAGAGAGAGAGGTGGGTCAAGAGAGAGAGGTGGGTCAAGAGAGAGAGGTGGGTCAAGAGAGAGAGAGGTGGGTCAAGAGTAATGGCGGAGCAAGAAGTAACGCACGGGCGTGAAATTGCAATCTCGAAGTAACTGGAAGCGACCAGACGACGCACCAGAATTAACGACCACGTCCAAAATAAGTCCTGGGCCTGGGATGAACCATTTGTCATCACAGATAAGCGCTACGTCTACCAAACACTCGTATAATGAAAACTCGCATTTCTAAATTGGTATAACGCTCGTATAATGTTACTTATACCAATTTAAAAATGGCATACTATAAAAATTATTATCAAAACCATTGTGATTCATGTTTGTTTTCTTACGTCTTACAAACATTAACTCGAACGTTCATTGCAATAAGATCTTACAGCCTCTTCAATGAGCATGTGAATATCCGACAATCAAAATTAAATGAAACGTGCCTTCGTCAAGGTACTACATTCATTTCATATCGAGGTATGTGGCTATTTTCCCAGTCTCCCACGACAAAGAAATCAATCTCACGACAGTGCCACTGAAGACAAACTAGCCATCTCACGAGTGAGTATTAAAAAGTTATATACGTTCACGCTCTAAATTTGATGGGCGTCGATTGCGATCGATGACGCGATGGAGTCTCATTTAAGGATTCCTGAGAATAAATTAATAAAGTGGTGCAAAAATTAATAACGTATTGCTACCGCTTTGCATCACCGTTAGACTGGTACAAAAATGGCTTTGCTCGTATTTCCACCATACCTTGTGTTCCTATTTTTCTATATAAAATGTATAGTTGTATAATTTACTGTCTTAAGTAGGATGAGTTGATTGTAAAATAAATTCTAACGGATTCCTAAAAGAGAGGTGGGTTTTAATTCCATATCTAAGATATATAATTAAAAATAAAGTAAAATCCAGAACAGTTTTGAAATTTTTGATTTACAGGGGGATCTTGCTCAGAGTAAAGCAAGAGATCCAAGCGCCCACGGATGATTAAATTTAAGAGGATTAAGTCGGTAGCGAGCAGTCATCATGGGAGAGCGTGCATACACTCAGGCGGGTTATTGCTGCATGCACTTCACACAATTTGATCTCTTAAATTGCTTTACTTTTTAACGGGATTCAACATACACACGCAACACCAACAGTAATGCGTTCTATAAGAAAATCTAGTAAATTGCTGAACTATATTTTAGTGAATTGCAGCCAAGTGCGATAGTCGCACCTCACTCATAAAAGAGAGCCGGTTATTATATATCAATAAGACTTGATGGTTGACCAAAAGTAAACACGAGAACGTCAGAAAGAAATATAACTGCCAACGTTAACAATTGAACGTACATAAAATCGACGCATAAAGTAAGCACGTATATAAACTGACCCTTAAATGTCTAATTTTAGAAAGGAATTGATCGTACATTCCAGTGGAAATATTTCTTTCTCAGTGCACAGAAAGAGCTACTATGATGCACAAAAAAAGCAGCATGCGTGGAAGAGATGGACAGGTTCGCAGGAGCAAAGTCGATGGGGAGCCAGCGCCCGAGCTGAGCTTATAATCCGGGGCCGGGGGCGCTCGCCCTTCCCTAATACGGCAGCACAGGAACAAATGCACAGCTTTAAGATGAAGTGTGTAGGTACTTGATGACGCTGCCACCGTCCACGCTGCACGGCCATCATCGCTGGGTGCTGGCTTCCCTAATACGGCAGCACAGGAACAAATGCACAGCTTCAAGATGAAGTGTGTAGGTACTTGATGACGCTGCCACCGTCCACGCTGCACGGCCATCATCGCTGGGTGCTGGCTTCCTGTGCAGCTGTTTTAGCGCATCATTTCCAACCAACAGTTAGAGAATAATTCGTAAGAATATTTTTCTTAGAACTGATTTAACAATTTCAAATGTCATTTTACCTGTCGCCAAATGCCTGCAAACCAGACCATAATCCTATATCATAGAACTTTACTATTTCAGTAATTTGAAACATAGAATGAATGAAATTCAATTCTATTCAAATGTAATATAAAGAATAATTAGATAAACGATTAAATGATACAGAGTTTGGCAATAAAGCAGAAAAGTTAATGAATAATGAGATTTGGCAAGCGATACAAAGCAGAATAATGAATAATTTATTTATAAGACAAAACCTGGGAGGCTTCCTCCAGCCGCATCCCGTCCGACGCCGAAGAACAACTCAGTTTTAATGGAGTGAGAAGGATTCAGCAGAACCGAACTACTGTAGCATGCAAAGCAGAAGAACATGGAGTCTTTAAAGATTGCCTACACTATCAACAACGCGGTAGAAAGATCTGCTTTAGTTAGTCAAGGGACGACAGGAATATGGAAGGAATAAAACTGAGAGAATTAATATTGTGTCAACAAAGGAGTTAAAGAACGGTCAACCTGTAGAACGTGAGCAGAGCTAAGTTTGCTAATGTCAATAATTTTACGTTTCGTTACACTATAAAATTCGGAAAATATTATAAGATTCATGACTAAAATATATAATTAACTGGAAGGGACCCGAAGAAAGTACTCGGTAAATTAACCTGAGACTCACGGCCCGCAGCCAAACAGAGACGAGCGTTAAACTTCAGCAGCCTCCAACAAAGCCAATATATTCCGAGGAAACCTGGACTCAATCAGTGGCACGATGGTATGGAGCGCGTCAGGATTGGCAGCTCACAAAGCAGCCAAGTGATGCAATCTATCGTACTTAGGGCGCGGCGAGCCCCGCACGATGGGGATCAGGCGACCCTTCTATTTGCCTTGACCAAACAAACGACGAGCTAATGGAAACTTGGCCGAGACGCTCCCAGCACACAAGTAAGTTCCGTAGAGGCGCCTTCTTGCTCGGGGCTGCTTGGGTCACCGATAGCCATAGTGCCCAATGACCCTCAGACTAGTTGTTATTAGATCATAAGAATATGATGGAATATTTAATGTCAGCATCGTCGGTAGTCGTGTTGATGCTCACAATTCTGACAATATAAGTGTTTTAACATATGATCCATCTAGCAGGATGGAAATGCGGTAAAAATTTAAAGATGTCTAAGCCAGGCTGTTAATATCGACTGGTTTACTTCTACAGGTCATTATTGCGTTCAAAAGTTTTGTGAATGGCCTTGATAAAAGATATCTTGCTCAGCCTAATGATTAAAAATATTCGTATGCCGCACAGTTATTTCGGTGTTTTTATCACCTAAACGACAATTTAACGATTCTCTGCTATTCTAGTATAGCAAACTAAATGACATATCTCAGTCACAAAAACTTCGTGGAGGATCGTGGTATGCAAATATCCACACATAGGAAAAGTAGTGATAAATTTCTCCGGCACAAAGGAAAACAACTGAAAAGTCCACCATATTCTATAGTCATGAGAAAAATTTATTCCAGTTGCAACGTAATCCGACCGGAGCAATGGGCGAGTTCCAGTAAAATAAATTCAAAGCGTAAACTCAATTGACGTCAGAACTGAAGTTATGGAAGGCGTGTGAGGGCATAAACGCGACCACGTACTTGCTCTTATTAAAGAACATGGAAGCTCTCGAAAGAAGAGTCAACGTCCCGTTTAAAGACAAGCACACATTAAACGGGCGAACAGACCGACTCCTGCCTTTCGAGAGCAGCTCCAGCGACATTATGATGAGGGACTCGTGCGATCGACTGCATGGATGTAGGCGCTCGCTATTGGCTTCACGTCCCGCAGCTGAGAGCATCGTCTCCAGGGCACAATAGCAGCACCTCGCAGCGCATTACCAGCTCAGTCCGTTGATATATTATATGCCCGTGGATGTTAGGGTTTGGGTCTACGATTCTCCGCACGGTGAAGGATGCGTCTGAATGAGTTGTTTGCTGCATGATTAGGTGTAAGTCACCTGATAACAGCCTTCTTGTGATAATCGTAATCAAATTTCGTCGGTAATGTGAAGCGATCGGAATGACCAGCCTTCATATTATAACCCTAACTCTTTATTGAGGCCTGCAAGGGTTGATTGGGCAGGCATAGCAGCAACTGATTAACAGGAAGGGAAACGAAGCAGCTATGGAAGACGACCGTGCGAGCTGAATTTCAGAGACTGGTAGACTCTAGAATAGAACCGGCGTTTTTTGCGCAGGTCATTTCCGCAATAAATATTGGAACTACAGCGAGACGAGTGCACGACCAAAATGGCATGACCACTCAAGCCTGAGAGCGGGACGATCGAAGAGCGGGCGCTCGCAGCGGCAGGAGTGGGAGTGTAGCGTCGTGTGGGAGGTGTGTGCAGCAGCAGCAGGAGAGTGGGAGTGTAGCGTCGTGTGGGAGGTGTGTGTGCAGCAGCGGCAGGAGAGTGGGAGTGTAGCGTCGTGTGGGAGGTGTGTGCAGCAGCGGCAGGAGAGTGGGAGTGTAAGATGTGATATATATAAAAGAATGAATGAATATTAATGCGGTTCGGGAGACAGGCACGTGGAGACACTAGAAAAAGTAACTAAATAAACGACTCCAACGTAAAGAACAACAAAAGTTCCTGATGATTCAATGCGGTGCTCGAGTCAGGCAGATAATCCATCTGGTGCCAAGTCAGACCACAAGTACTAAGTGAAAAAAAAAACGCAGGCGAAAACGGAAGGGCTGTTTTTTAGAGAACCCTAAAAAAGTATATGACATCGAGCCAATGTTATGTACGTTTAATTTAAAAATAAATCACAAAAAAGCGAGTCACTAGGTTGTAAGGATGGGGGGGGGGGGGGAGGTCAGCCCACCAAGATTTATGATCATATTCATGTACAATTACCTACTTAAACTTATATTCAGACCACATAACATTCCATTTGTCATTAATTTTTAAATAAAACTAATGGTTTTAATAATTATACATACAACTATTTAAAAGGGCTCAAGAATATCTTAGGGGGCTGAAGCCTCCATTAAATAGGCCTAATGGACGCAGACAAATTTCATGCTGTAACATGTAGATGATTGCGAATTTCGTGAAAAAAAATTATTTAATGTAAAATGATCGGACAAATTCCTTAAATACTATGTGTATACATACTTTCATCCCTGGATATCATCTCAAGATGAAGAAACTTACGAGGCACTGTATCTGAAAATGAAAGAAAATTTATTAACCATAAGTTCAAAATCTGCAGGAAGTAAGCATTACTGTTACGTTATAATGGTAAGCAAATCAACACGTCTAGATTAGGGTTGCAACGAAGTCTTATTTAATAAAAAATGCTTTTTTGCCATACATCGGGTCTAGGTTTGAAAACCAAATACAAAATGAGAATGAAACTGAACGGTGGAATAAAATTTCGGGTTAAATGATGCATAGGTTCGGGACTCGAAGAGGTAGGAAGATTGTGAATTTTATTTGGACAGATATATGATTTTTGTGGACTCCATTTGGAGTCCTTCATCGTCAGGGATTTGTAGGATTTGCAGAAAGTAAGTTGGGAGTACATCTACAAGGCATCTATTCATTTCATTATTGATGAAATGAATTGAAATTAGTCTATTTATATAACAGAGCAAATAAAGAAATCATAATTAAAATTGCTTATTCAACATTATTTAACGGAATTTTTGGTTGTGCAGGGAACATATTCTCATTTTAAAAGATGCTAGAAGTTGAATCATTATTAGTATATAGAGGTCTCGCACCAAACAAATTTGGTTCTTAACTTTTTTGTGTGCTAAACGACGCTTGTTTTCTCAGTTGCAATCATTTAATAGCATTCCGGTACGCGGGAATTAGTGCTAGGAGTTACATCACAAGCACGAACTCTCGAACAATCATAGAAAACATCAATGTGTCGTTGGTTTAAGCAATATGGTGATCGTAAGACACGTGACACAACACGAAATTGAAACAGAACACAAATATTTGACGGAAATGGCCAACCGAATTACAAGTCTGCTGCTGCACGTCAATTGGCACAGTTCCAACGAACCAGTCCCTGGTCATCGATAGAAATAAATGACTTGAAACACTCACCCGTAAATTAAAAAATACTGACGAAGATCAAAATAACTGGGCAGCATCGAGATGTAAGGCAAATTCGGCGGGTGTGGAAGAAGATGGAAGACAGAACGATGAGTGCTCCTAAGGCACCAGATAATGGAAGAGCGGAGAGAACACTATAAAGAGGATGATACCAAAGCACGTCATGAACATAAACAATGAGTTGAGGTGTCCTTCAGGACAGTAAGTCTGGCAACAAGGACTCAGCGACACGTGGGCATCACAACACGTGCACAGACCAGGCTCGGGTTCCATTTGAAGTCCTTCATCAACGCTCCTGCTGATGCTAGGCGCACCTATACTGCTGGTGGGGCGAGCGTAGCAGTTCAGGGCTGCAGCATCTGGGTGTGTTTCAGCTACACAACCGCGCTGGTCACCGTCACCTCGCCCCTGACGTTCGCCAACTTGCCTGCAGTGGCACTTGGAACAGAGCCACTGCTCGTGGGGAGCTATCAGGCCTTCCGTTTGGCACGCCTTGTCCTTAACTTTGCGCGACGCTTGGCAGCGGACAGGTTGTCTCCTCACAGGACTTGGAGGACGCGAGCGCCGACTGTACACACTGGCAGCGCTTCGGTTCGGTACGTGGTTAGGTTGCAAGGCACCTTTGGTAGGCAGATAATTACAGTGAGCTCGAGAAGACTCTCTTTGAGAGAGAAGTTGATTGTTTTCATATGACTTTACATAACAAGTATCATTCAATAAGGGTACAAATGGACGCGAAACATTATTTACAAAAGAACTAGGCTTAGAGTAAGAAGCAATAGCCGGAAAAAATTTGCGTTCGGGAGATGCCGAAATCGTTTCATCGTCAGATGTCAGAGGCGATCTGGTTCGGTAAGACTGGAGAAAAGTTTGAGATTCGTAAGGCATCCGTCTGCGGTCCAGAGGCAGATATGGAAGGCTGTAATCTCTGATTTCATGTCCGTAGGAAGATCTTTTGGGCATCCAATGCTGGCAGTGACGGTACGATCTTCTATAGGTCGGGAACGGTCGCTCGATGGAAGCGAAACGGCTCCTGTGTACGGGAGGCAAGGATTGTTGGCTCTGCTGCAGCAGCAGCGACACAGTCGAGTCGAACTTCCCCGGCGGTGAAGGGGAGGGTCGAGGGTCGACCAGAAGCCAGCGCGAAGAGACCTCATATCGCCGCTGAGGATAGTCGTAGGTGAAGAATGCCGGAGACTGGGGTGATGGTGGGCTGTAGCAAAGCTGCTCACGGCGGGAAAGAGGAGAGAGAGGAGATGGCAGGGCAGAAGACAGATCTAGAGCTACAGAACGAATGACGTCTTGAGGAGTGGATGCCACGAGCGGCAAGTGACGGCGAGATTGGTAGTTACCCTCTGTTGGCTGTGGCAACAGAGGGTGCTGGAGCGTCCTCATGCTGGGGCATCACGGACACACGCCGCTGCTGCCAGCTAACCGTCAGGATGTGTGCCGCAACGCATCCCTAGCGACATCATCTCGCAGGAGCGTGCGCCGTCATTGTACTTGTCCATACACACAAACTTTCTTCACTGCAAAACTGGCTTGCGATCTGTGTATTGCTACCAGCACATCTCACGCTTGTAGATATCACTTAGAACACGATCTGTACAAAATATTTTTTTCTTCTGTAAATTATATATTCACTGAAAAGTTGAAATGAATATCAATCTTTCATCGAACACCAATGACATATGAAATGCGCTAACGAAATAATTGCATAAATATATTATCTGATTTAACAAGGAATTAATAAAGACAATTCTAACAACAATGTAAAGAAATCAAAATGCTAGCCATACTTCAGCATCCATTGCGAATCTTTCGTGTATATGCAACGGAAACGCTGTCAATTATAGGCCCGTGACACTTCCTATGTCATAGCGTTATAAATAGTGATGTCAGACGATTACTGTACACGTACCGTAAACTGGGGTATCTTAGACCACTTTTTTTTTAAATGATGCCATTTTTTTACTAGATAAGTTAAACTTAAATTGAAACATGCAAAATACAGGTCTATACTCTAGCTACACTCACCATAAATTGCTGGCTCCTGCCTCTCATAGTTTTGATGTAATTTAAAAAAAATTGATGGTCTTTTTTACCCCAGCTCTGGGGGTATCTTAGACTGTTTGGTAAAATCAATTATATTTTTGGTAAAATAACTCCAAGTAACTCCAGGTTTTGGTGCATTGTAATAGAACTCTTCTAGTTACATATGCAAATGAAAAACTTGAGGAAAGTTTCATAGTTTGCAAATGGGGGGTCCCGCCCCCCAGGTGGTCTAAGTTTTCCCAAACGGGGGAACTCTGACCACCTAATGGCAGCCCTGACAGGGTTAAAATAGACCAGCTTGGAAATTAAGTTAAAATTACCATATATAAGACTCTGTAGAGTCTGAAACCTAAAGAAAAAACATTAATAGGTGTATCAAACATGAAATGTTATATATGGTAATTTTAAATTAATTTCCAAGCCGGTCTATGTTACCCCGTCAGGGCTGACATTAGGTGGTCTAAGTTCCCCTATTGGGGGGCGGCGCCCCCCATTTGCAAACTATGAGACTTTCCTAAAATTTGTTTGTTGCATATGTAACTAGAAGAGTTGTACTACAATGCATCAAAACCTGGAGTTATTTTGCCAAAAAATAAAAAAATTTTAAATTAATTTCCAAGCCGGTCTATGTTACCCCGTCAGGGCTGACATTAGGTGGTCTAAGTTCCCCTATTGGGGGGCGGCGCCCCCCATTTGCAAACTATGAGACTTTCCTAAAATTTGTTTGTTGCATATGTAACTAGAAGACTTGTACTACAATGCATCAAAACCTGGAGTTATTTTGCCAAAAAATAAAAAAAATGGAGGGGGTACTCCGACAGGCTTTAAATAATAGCTTTTTTTTGTGGGTCACATTTTAATTTTTTAACCTATTAGATATGCAAACTTTTTAAATCTTTCTATTGTGTTACGTAGCCTCAGTATTAGGCCTTTAATGCCCATTGACAGAATTTTTCTATGTCAAATAGTTTTTGAGTTTTGGGGGTTTTTGTTAAAAAAAACGAAAAGTGGTCTAAGTTACCCCAGTTTACGGTACTGCAGAGCGCACATGGAAAATCATTCTTCTCGTATTGCGATACAAATGAAATTCAAGTATTTGAAACGGGTACTACGTTGTAACAAATATTCGACGAAAAATGCATCTCGCCAATTGTAAATGTGAAAGGTTAGTTTTATACGAAACTTTCGAGGGGGTTAGTTAGTTTAGTGGCCACATGTTTACTAGCGCTTCAGCTATTTAGCTATCTGGCAACGGAAGTCAAAACGAACATCATCAACGAGGTGTAACGTCTCAGTTATCGAGTTTCTCAAATTGTTCATCACCCACAAGGGGTGGAAGTTCTCAATAGTCCAGCCCGCTGAAGCTGGCGCGAAAGAAGCAGCGTCAGCATCTCAAAGAGACGAAGTGACAAGGAGAAACAGGTGAAAAGTAACAGAAACGAAGACACTCGAAAAAGAGGTCGCTTACACGGGACGTCGGCCGCCCGTACGAGAGACAGAGAAGGGAAATGTAAGGAATCCTACCTACATAATAACTTAATGTAAGGAATCCTACCTACATAATAACTTAACCCCACAACTGAGACCTGCAGTCAGACACCGCGAGCTCAGCGATGATGCGCTCAGGAACACTTACCCTCGGAGCGTGAAATCCCATAGGACTTCTGACGAGCACAGACGCGCGCCAGAAGTCCCCCTTGAGGGGGGAAACTTTCAAGATTTAACGGCACACTGATATCAACGATAAGTCCTATGCGCAGTAATGCGTTACGCCAAATATGCTCAAAAATCCCAAGTGAAACGGAGATAAGACTTAACTAGAATGAATACAATACAGCACGATCACAACGGAGGTAAAAAAAGCCTCAACTGCACACCGACAATCTCTGGCGTTGCGGCAGGCCGAGAGAGAGAGAGAGAGAGAGAGAGAGAGAGCAGTTCGTAGCGCGCCAGTAAAGTAGGAAGCAGCGAAGTGTCAGAGAAGTGATGAAGTCGCAGGAGCGCTGGCCATGCACGCACGGCAGATCTTGCACGACGATCAG